ACATCGATTGAGTCGCCAGCAGCAAGAGCTAGAAAAGATTTATGTCGTCTACCCGTTTCAGTTTCTCCATCCCATTGGACGAGTTGTCTGGTGCATTGAAAATACGCAAAAAAGGAAGAAAATGATGAATTTCCATACTATACCTATTACCCTGTACCTATACCTATACCTATACCTATACCTATACTATACGTGCCCGTTTCAAATGGCCTGGTGCTGGTGCTGGTGCTGGTGCTCACCCTCGCCGATCCCGATCCGGCTGCCTTCCGTTCTGACCATCCAGCCATCCAGCCATCCGATGGCTCTGACAGCACTAGCAACACCAACAGCAACAGTTCAAAGGTGCGCTCTCCCGACGTCGAGCTTCGAGCATCGTCATGCCCCAGCGCAGCCAAATCCCCGCCAGCACGACGAGCGGCTCGTGTCACTGATTTCGCCGACAACGACGACGACGACGACGACGAAGCCTTCCATGGAGCTGGAGATGGAGATGGAGCTGGGTTTGGGTGGCTATATGGGGTGGACCAAGAGTGATGCTGCTGCTGATGCGGAGCAGCAGTGCAATGCCATTGTGTTGTGGATACGTTGCGTCGCTTTTCTGCCACCACGTTACCCACTACTCCCACATTCACTCCCCCTTTTGCACACCCAACACCCACCACCCACACCTATACACACCTCCTCTACCTATACACACACACACATACCGCACACGTACTTAATGCATGTGCCCTCACATACACGGTATACGTATACGTATACGTATACGTATACGTACACGTATACCCAGGCTTCTATGTATACAACAAGCCCTTGTTTTCGCCCACTGGAATTGGGGGTTGAAAAAGCATAGCATAGCATAGCATCGCACTGGCCTTTCTCTTGCCCTGCAAAAAGTTTTCATTTTGAACGAGAAACAGTTGTGGGTTCATTCGATTCGGGACGTTCGAGGCGGAAGTACTTATATGCCAACGCGCTTGGCCTACAAAAATATTTATTACGCCCGAAGTTCGCGTGAGACGTACGGAGTTTTTTTCCTGTTACTTGTTACTAAAAAAAAAAAAATAAAAATTGTGTTTATTTATTACTAATTTTTTTTTGTTTAGTGAAACACTCCTTAATTATTTAAGGTATACATTTTTTTCCTATATACATACATATATATATATGGGAAATATTCCATGTGCAAATGTAAGTTAATTTGACAAATAATATTAGGAACATTCGCAACGGCAGCTGTTTTACAAGCGACCAAATGTGTGAAAGAAAGAAGAGGAATCAACAAATACAAGTCTTATGTTATTTTCCCGAAGGACTTCTTAACTATAATGTTCACCGGTAAGAAAGGCATTGGTAAAAGTAAAGATAACAACCAAAAGTTGTTGAATGAATGTTGAATAAAACCTAACAGATAGCTTTGGTACGCCAGCAAACTCCCGTCATCAGAATAAATGGTAACAGGTGTCTGTAACAAAGTTATACTTTCGGTCCTTTTCGCTACGGATTTTTGTAATGCTGCGTTGGCCAGAGGTCTAAATCTCGAGAACTACAAGATTTTTGAGAATTTAAATTGGCAAGCACTTTAGAAAATCACGGAACTATATGGCACACATAGTTTAAGAGGTTTTGGCTCAACAAGTTCGGATGGACAAACAAAATACCATACCAAATCAACAAGAAACATTCATTTTAGATGCTCTTTTATTTCCATTCTTGGTTATAAAATAAATGACCGGGTTTTCTTAATAGTCTGGTTTTTAACTAAAACATTATTTTAATGGGTAGGTTTTTATACAAGTTTTCTTTAAAATATGTTAGCTACAAATATATTTTATATCAATTACAAAACATTTAGTCCAGAGCTGGTAAACTTTATTTTTTTTTTTACTGACAAATAAAGTTATTGAAATTTCAAAATCTATCGTTTGGGTCTGGACAAACTTTTAACTAATAAGTTCCAGACTTGACACGTTAGGATGAAATCCAAATAATAGATGCGCAAACCAAAAGTATAGTCATTGTATTAAATAGCTGTAGCCCTACGTTCCAAATTTGTTGTCTCATATAAATAAACATACATATATAGTATACATATGATCAAGCAGTCAGGCGGTGCTTTTTTTGAATGGACACAATAAGCAGGCACTCAAATGTTACCACTCTTGGACTTTATGGGCTTGTTCTTGCCATTGAAGCACAATTACGGCGCGTTCGGTTTGGTCGCCCGGTCGCCAGGCAGGCAGTCAGTAAACCAACCAACCAAGCAGTCAGTCAGCCAAACAGCTAAACAGCCATCCGGCCATCGAACTATATCTTTGTCCACGGTCATGGTCTATTGCCTTCGCAGTGCTCTTGGACCACATTGAAATTGCAACCATGGGCAATCGCTTGGGCGACTACAAAAAGTTATTGTCTGCGGCAAACATGTAAGCGATCAGGGGATAGGTTACACTTAAATGTGATTTCTTACCGTTTCTATTCCATCTACTCTCTATTTTACCCTTTGCAACTACAGTACTTCTCTGACCTAGATGATATATATTTTAGTAAGGCAATTCCCATTCTGTTTAGCCTGACAAAAACTCTTGGGCAATATTCTCAGGGAGTCTTAAAAGTTTTGTCCCATAGTTCAACTACTTAGCTTTTAAAACCCCACAAATTCAATTTGTTTTTTCTATAGAGGCTCAATATCCCTCAAAACAAATCAAAAAATTTGTATAATTTACAAATGCATATAGTAAAAAAAAATTGTTATGGAGCAAGTTAAAACTTTTCTTTATAGCACTGATCACAACGAAAATATAATATGGAGAAATTTACTGCTTAATTGTATGCAGAAACGACATTATACATTATATATAAAAATGAAAATTCGGTAGTGTTTCCTAATTTCCCCAAGATCTTTCTTTTCTTTCTATTATAACCAATGAAATTATCCAAGAGCTTTAAGTCGCTGAGTCTTTAATAGACACAAACGGGGGAGGCAGGTAGTATCTATAAACAGAAGAAAACTTATTTTAGGACATTTTCGACTGTCAACGCGCCAGCTAACTTGGCTGTCGAAACAAAAGCGAGTGATAAATTCTCAAACAGATGACGTCGGTAGTAGACGGTCGGTAGCACCGGAAATGTGCGTGTTACAATACCACACTCAACGCAAACACATGCTCGAACATACGTATAAAGTGACTGTTCCTGTGACTGTGACTGTGACTGTGACTGTGACAGTACACGTTACGTTTGTCGTTTGTCGACTTCCGCTTCATTGGCTGGTGTGCGTAAGTGTTTGCCACAACAAAGAGGTTTCACAACATCCGCACTCACATCCGTTACCAGTACCACTACCACTGTTGACGCCACTGCACGTTGAAAAGCAACAAAAACAAAAAATTATAAAATAAAATTAAGTACAATAAACTTTTTGTAGTTATACTCTTGATGCGTATGTTTGATGCAAAAGTTTGAGTACCTGTGTGTCGAATGATGCATTGTACTTATTCCTTTCCTCCTGCCACGCATCCTATAACTTTTTTACATCAGAACTGCTAGTGTTATATAAAGTACGACAGCATTCGATCTATATAAGGCACTATGTAATCTTTATGTAATAATACGAAGCCAATTATATTATATAGGTTCTTAAATCACAGAAACTCAGCAATTATCTAAGCAATTCTTATATGAAATGAATATATTATAATCTCATTCAGATGCTTTTAAGAGACATGACCGACCCTATATCAGTCGCTAAAAATAGTAACCGGAAACGGTATTATTCGTTTGCCTATTCGAAACAACTTTGGTAGACTATGCAACGGTGCGTTTGTCTCGGTTTTAATATAATTAGGGACTGAAAATTCTATTATGCTATTATTGTATCGGAAACAACAAAATACTTGTGTGGCTTGCCGACTGCAACATCACCGTTGTAACTGACTTTGTGTCCAATAATTCGATTTACTCACTTTTTACCGAGAGGAGACCACCGATCCATAGAGACGAGGGCCACCCTTTGATGGCACTTTGCGTGCATTAGATCCAAAGTGGCTGGTTGCAAACTCTATTATTGTAGCTGAGTACTCATACCCATATATACCATTCACTCACTTAAATGGAATGTGCATTCAAACATACCTATCTATGTACATTCAAACCAATTTGCACTACTGCCTTCATAAAGTACACGGTCATTTCAAGCGCTATCAAAACTAAACACACCACACACAATATAAATAAGAATGACTATAAAGTAACCAAGGTGAAGAAAGTCAGTCAATTTTACAACGTCACATAAGAGCGTGAAAATGTTTTGCTGTTTTTCCTTCTTATTTCTCGTTTTCAGAAACGTTAAACACTGCATTTTGTGACTTAATGAATCTGTTGAATTTTATTAAAGGTTGAATTGGGTTAAAATAAGCATATCAAGCCTTTTTTGCTCCGCTTGTATAATAACCCAGTTGAGCCCCTAGCAGGAATGCTCAAAACTGGAATAAAGATGTCATCACTTTGCAAAATTGGTTATTACCACTTTTTGACAAGGATATAACGCCAGACATAGATACTAACATACATATACCAACAGATCCGAGCACACACAAGAATTTTTCTTATTGCCGATAGGCAAAATCCAAGAAAACAAGCCACTTTTCACCAGCTCCCGGGTAAATGTGTTTATGTGCCTTTTGCTCTACAGAACTGTCATCAAGAAAACGACAAGGCAAATAACCCGAAACCAAATGTCCTCTTCACCCAACTTCGTTTTATGGGGTTGAAAACTTGAGTTCTGCTGGGTGTTAGCATTTCAATTTCTTAATACTCAGCTGTAAAGCCTAACTGAGCTGTGATTTTTTATGAAATTATTAGTAAAAATTAAATGTGTACACAGGATAGATACAATTTAAAATTGTAGAAAATGGTAAGATCTTCAAATATCGTTTAAAATGTATAGAGTGTATAATACGTAGAGCAAGAAGACATGATTTTAATTTTCGTTCTTCATTTTATTTTTTATAAGAGTCCGCGGAGGCAGGCGATTACTAATACCAAGTGAGCCAAATTAATCCAATAACATATATTTGGATTTTGAGGTAGTTGCAATTCAGGGATCTCAGTTAAAAGATCTTGGGGCATCATGGGTGTAACGCTCTTTAGAGCCACACTGGAGTAATCCAGATGATCTTCGAAATCCGTTTCGGCTGTGCATCCACATGAACGGACCCGGCTAATGGAAGTCAAGGAACTGATCGAATCAGAATTCAAAATGGATGTATTATCACAGAATACAGCGTATTTTGATTGATTAAATCTCGGCTCGAAAACCAAATTCCGTTGCTCTATTAAGTTACCCTCCGAACGTACTCTCCACAACTGTGTTTTCGATGTATCCAACTGCTTGAATTGGCGCAGGTTATCGAAAGACAGGGTTCGGTTTTTTAAAACTAGATCTTTCCCATTTTGATGGCCCTTTAAACAGGCATTTAGCATTCGGGACTTCGGAGGTGCCTGCACATGGGAAATTGCATAGTTCTTCCGAGTATTTTGCCCTGCTACTATTATGCCTCTATATTGATCCACTGACAAAGCAGTATGAATAGTTCGGATTAGCTCGTTCATTGAAGGGTTCGTTAAATAAATGCCATCAAATTTATTACCGTTTCCATCCTTACGCGATGGTAATCGAATTTTATCACAAGCAAAATGTTTATTGCTACTTTCGTCAGTTTCATCATCGGAAATACGAAGTGTTGGTTCTCCGACATCATCCTCTCGCCTTAGTAATGTTTTTTTGGCGCACTTTACAAATGCACGACAGCCTCTAATAATATTGAAATGTTCTTTTGAGACATTTTTATATATGATGCTTATTTTGGACTTACAGTTGCATCCACATAATACAAGATTTCCTTAATTTACGCTTAAAACAAATGCTCTAATAAAAGAAATTTAGGGTTGTGTATAGGAGTTGTAAACAAATTGTAGACTTATATTTCTGGGTTAACTGTGTTGGTCAAAACAGTCCTCTTTTTTATATGGATTTTATTCCTAAATATTAATGGATCGTCTTAAACAACTTCACAAGATCAAAATAATATACCTACGCTGCTATATCTGAATGACTATATATATTGTTTAGTACTGACTTACACATTTAACACTAAAACATTTTAAAAAATTTTTGAGCAGGTAAGTTGATGTTAACATTTACTTTATAACCTTTTTAGTGCCAAAGCGTTGTGTTCAGTGTAGCCTATGTTGCTTTCTGTTCCTTTTTTGGTTCAGAGGATAGCGGGATGAACTGTCTGCATTTTATAAGCAATACAACACACAAGCATGGCCGCCACGCTGTCGGCTTAAGTGCCTCCCTTCGCACTGTGCGCATTTCCGTGGAAAGTAAATTAAATTTTATTTGCTTTTAAGTGAATTATTTACTTTCTTGTTTGTCGGTGCTTTTCAACAGAGACCAGTACATCTCCCCATTTTTAAATATTTCACACTTACATTGTTTTGTTGTTATACGACAAGACCATTTGCTTCTTATAGAAATTATTCATAAACATCCATACAACACAGTTTAAAGTTATCACAAAAATCAATTATACTTTTTAATCACATATTTTCAGAATGGATACCCCACCGAAGGCCTTTAAGAAAGCGAAGTACTGTTAAAGCTAAGGTGTCAAATACTCCTAAAAAGTGATTTTAAAATGATAAATAGGAAAAAAATGTCCTCACTGAAGTCGGGTTTCGTTAACAGCGGGCTGTTATATACTTTTCAATAAGTTCGTTGTCGACGAAACCTGCATGCTGTGTGGAAAATCAACACTTGCGACATTGTTCTCTTTCAATATTTTCTCTAAGATAACTTAACTTAACTTTTAGATATTTTTTGAACTTAAGAAGCACAATATAACTTTTTTTGGTAACTCAAAACACTACTTATAAAAACAGAACTTACCAGAATTTAAATGAAGTATGCGTCTATGCGTCTGGACTAGTGGAATATGTACCCTATGGCTAAAACGATGTAATCCGTGTAATACTGCAACGTGGGATGTGACAAGTCTAGCAGCCCCGAACCGAGAAGTATCTGAAATTGGGATTCAAGGAGTCTGTGATTCACATGTTATATTGTTACAGGATAATAATAAAATGCTGATTTAAAACTAATAATATCCTGTAATCATGTTCAACAAAAAAGTAAAGTCTTAAATAATCCCGAACATAATATTGAATTAAGGAGATGTAAAAATCTATTTGAAACAAAATCTTATGCAATTTGTACTCTTAATGTGTAATCAGCAAAAACAATTTACATCTATCCTGTAAGAACTAAAAAATATGATTTAAAAAAAAAATTAAACAAATTTACTATTAATTTAAGGCGAAGACAACAAAATAAAAAGATGGAAAAAATGTACCGAAATATGGCGCTTCAAACTAAATGAAAAAATGAAAGCGTACTATATAAGACGTATCACAGAAATCTCTTCCAACCATAAGAATTCCAAATTAATTTGGTTAAAGGAAATTTCTGATACTTCATTTTGTTTTGTAACATGTTCATGGGAAAAGTCCAGATCCAAAGGTAAGCCTGCAGTTATAACGATACTTTAATTAAAAATACCGTTCCTGTTTTCGTGAATATTTATTTATTTACTTAAAAACAAACCAGCTAAAACCATATTATTATATTACGGTGACAGAATAACCCAATATATATGCAGAATATTTGTACAAAAATATACAAAATAGTTCCTATGATAGTACTAAATGATCATTTTGTCCGGTTAAAAAAATCTTTTAATTCAAAATTGCGAAGCCCCAAAAACTAGCGCTACCCCAGAGTAGAACAGAATATAATTAACAAAAGAGAACGCTGTAGTTGACTGCCTCGACTATCAGATACCCGTTACTCCGCAAACCAACCAACTGCAAAATAAATATACCTTCAGGTATCGTCGAAAAAACATCATTATCTACTGGCTGCAATTTGAAAAATTTTCGAAGTGCCGGTAGTAATTGACAAGTTGAACATATTTAAATTTATTTTTAATTTGGGTGGTTTGTGGGCGTTGGACCCTGCTGAAATACCGATGCGCTGCGCGAGAATCTCTAGAATTTTAATGCCTAATCCCCACATTCCAAATTTTCAAGTTTCAGAGTTTTTAGCGTTCATACGGACGAATTTGCGCGGTTTTTTTAAGGTCAATTGATTGGTATTGACGAGAGCAAAAAATGTTAAATACAATTTGAATTCTAGCAATACAACTTTAGGAGTGACGGTTTTGGACGGTTTGTGGGACTGGCACATTCAGGGATAACAAACTTGCGCTGAATACGAAGCTGAGGAATCTAATTCTCAAATCCAACTCTCTAGCTCTTATAGTTTCCGAGGTCACAGCGTTCACACAATGACTGATATGGATATGCTGATATGCTGATCAAGAATATATATACCTATGGGGTCGGAAACTTCTCCTTCACTACGTGCAAACTTCGGATTGAAATCATCATAGCCTCTGCAAGGGTATAGCAACGATTAATTATCTTTACCGTTTATTAATCGATCTTTCCTATGCCATCTAAAAAAGTCGTCGGAATTTATATTGAAATAACACTACAATGTATCAGGTGTGCCAAAGAAATTGCTAATTGCTCCTCATATTGATGAATTTTGAGAAATCCCACCCGATTCAGCGTTATGGATTGGTATTTGGTATAGTCGCCCTTATTCGTTAAAAGGTAATAGTTCCATCCAGAAAACTTCAAAAATAAAAATCTGATCTGTATAATCTTTATATTAGCCTTTTCCATTTTGTAATTAATAAAAATGTTTACAGAGTTTTGTACTCTATATATTATTGGTAATTTATTTAATTTTCATTTACATTAGTTGGAGACCGAACGATTTATGTAATTATTCATAGGCTTATAAGGTTTAAATTTCGGCTTTAATGACGTGGGGATCATTTTATTGGCTGACAGTCGATTATAAAAGAAAAAGGCCATCGTAAAATCTATTTTAAAATTTTTAAGTTATTGATACATTTGTTTTTGCCGACTTAAGTGTTTTAAGGTAGCCGTTAACAATGTTGTTGTTCGCTATTATTCTATTTAAATCGTCTGGATATTTGCACTAAATTTTGATCAAGAACAAAGTATTACGTATAAGTGTGTAGTTCTATATTTTTTCTAGTACATACGGCTTTGTATTAAAACTAAAGAAGCAATGCTATATTTTGGATGTCTGCACTCGTTTGCGACTTTCTCAAACCCACTTGTCCTTCAAAATCACAAATTTTGAGGAATTCAATGGTTTAAAAAATTGTCTTAAATTTGACGTAAAATAAACTTCAATTTAGTATAAATTACCATTCTCCGACTAGTTTGTTGCTACTTTGGTATTTTAAAGATTCGTTATCTTAACGTTCTTGTTGAAATATGGATAAGCGAAGTTTTAGTGTACGTAGTGTAAACCTAATTTTTAATTAAAGTTTGTTCTGTTTATTTAGATATTAAGTGTTTTTTATTCAGCTTTTATCATTTGGATATTTGCACTAATTTTTGATCAAGAACAAAGTTTTACGTATAAGTGTGTGTTTTTATATATTAAGTTAAGTTATATACTGTTTTCAAAACTAAAGAAGCGATGCGATATTTTGGACGTCTGCATTTGATAGCGACTTCCTTTTTTTCTTTTCGTCAAAAATAAAAATTTCGGTGGAATCAAAAAGTATTCTTCGTTAAAAAATGTTAGTTTGGCGCACAAATCAAAATAAATTTAAAATAATTTTTCATGTTTCGATTATATTGTTTTTACTCCTGTTTAATATTTCAATGACTCGTTATGTAAACTGACTTGATAAAATATGGATAAGCGAAGTTCAAGTGTACTTTTGTATGTGTAAACCTAGTTTTTTAATTTAAGTGTGTTCTGTATATTTAGATATTAGATGTTTTGTCTTTTATATCATTTGTAGTCAGAATAAGAAGTTAATAATGAGTAAGTACATTTACTATGGTCTCAGAGATAGTACTTAAAGATCCCTTGAAGTTTTAAAACATAAATTAAAGATCTGTTATTTCATTATGTGCATCCATTCTCTGATCGGCACTACGTTTTGCAAGTTGTGTCTTAGATAATTCATTGGTTATAGTCTTTCAACATTTAAAAACTACAAATTAATAGTAAGTGTTCACCTTCGATGTTGCCCATGTTTAGATTCTAGAGAATATAAGTTAACCCAAGTTTGACATCAGTTGTCTTAAATATTCATACAATTGCAAATGGCGTAATTGTCCTATGCGACTAATCCATATATCTTTTTTGGATTGCTGACATACGTACATATGTAGCCAGTACTTCGTTAAATAGTTTATCATCCTGCTATATGATTTTGATAACATTTCCTTTTCTCGTTTTGGTCTACGACATCATAGTGGTACGGGTCTTAACGCATCTTCTTATCACTGTTTTAACGGGCTACAATAAGGCCCGATGTGTTTTATAAGCATCTAATTATGAATGTTTGCAGGACTACATTTTTGTCCGGAAGATAAATACTTTCCAAAAGTATTGCAATTTGAGCAACCTTTTGCTTTGTATACTTCTTATTCGTATAAATGTAAGTCAAGCTTGCAAGAACAACATCCATTCAAAACTGTGACATTTATTTTTCTTTGTCGCAAACAGTTTTCAATTATATTTTAAAACAATATATATAAGAATCGTTAGGCAAGTAACTTAATATGTGAAGAATCTAAGCCATTCTATAACAAGAGTAGAATACTCGTTTAATGACTAGTTGTAAATATTTTTGTCCCCAAACTTATTAAAACTAAAAAAAAATTCTCATAGATTTCTTCTTAAATAAGTATTTCAATAAGTATATACTTTTATTAGCTGCGTCTTGAATATACCGACAACTAACCTACATATTAATGGTTCCAGTTTAAAATATTTGTCCATTATGTTTTTGTTCTCAAGTTTTCTGTACTTTGTTCTTTTATAGCAATTAAATTTAGTTGACTGAAGTTAATCTATTTATGCTTGCATCATAGAGCCTATTGTTTTGCATTGCAATTAAAAATGATATTTGAGGAATCCCAATGTTTTACCCACCTTGTCATACGTATTAATATATATTGTAAAATTTCTTATTTGAAAATCTAATGTAGACAAGCATTTAGCATGTCATTAAAAATTTTTTGTTTTCCTATATAGTCATTGATTATTATCTGCTGCTGCTTATCATAGAATATTTAAGAATGGATAAAATGCAGCTATGCTGGAAGTACTAGTAAAATTTAGTATCACAGTATTTTATATAAGATCAACTTTTGTTTATCCATCATATGCGGTATTTTTTGCAAATATTACTTAGGTCAATTATATCGTCAGATTAGAATGGTATATATTATTGTATAATCAAGTAATGGAGAAAATCTCACAAGTTGTGTTTTCTTTTTACGAATACGGCAAAAAAAAAACTATAAGGAAACATAATTTTAAATTTGTTGATATCGACATAACTAAAAAGTACCAAAGATAATGCAAATTGTAAGCAATGTTTTCTTAGATTATAATTTCACATGTGTAAAGCCCTGTTTATTTGAGTTTCATATTTGTATTTGGTACCAGCAACATCCTTGCTAAGTTATGCTTTTAATTGCCAGAGCTTATTTTGTGCAAAAATTAAAAAAACGAAGTTATTCCTAATCAACCCTTGAAAAAATATATATTTTTACATACTAAAGCAATTTTGATTAAATATTATATGACGATCCCAACCTCAAATAACATTGATTGGTTGCAAAAAATAATTTCGACAAACAGCACTTAAAAAATAAATTTAGGAAATAAAATATAAAAATGTACATATTTTAATTCCTATTAAATTTAACAACATTCGTAGTCTTAACCGTGGAACAGGTCGCCTAATTCATTTGAATTTGAAAAAAATTAAGTAAAGTAAAAAAAATGACTACTGACATACTAAATAATTTCCAGAAATGCACGAAATAAGCTATTGTGTTGTAGTACTAAAAGCTAGCGGCTTTCATTGAAAAATTATATTTAAAGAAAACGTTATTTAAGTTGTTTGAAGCCGTAAGCATTTTTTGGGGTTAAGTCGATTCGGAAAAATTACAACTGAGTGCACGAAATAAGCTGTTCTGCTCTAACGTCTTGCAGTCTTTCTCTTTTTCGTGATTGAAGCAACTTTGACGTAATACTTATTTTACATGACTGCATTTTGAAAAGTAGACATATTATTGCCACATCTGATAAATATTTTAATCGAACCATTTCCATGCACAATTGAAAAAAAAGGGCTAAATCGACTTGACTTGTATTGATTACGAAAACTTCAGGTCACGATGGAAGAGCAATCTTTTAAAATTATAAACTGTTGTATTTCAGCATTTTTGTTGACCATTTACAATTGCCATTTTTAATTGAACAAACAACCAGAAGTTAGACAACTGGAAGAAATCAGGAAGAAGTTAGATATAGAGAAAATGCTATGATGTACAAATGACCACAACTAATACAATGTCTGTTTACATTAGACAAAATGGCGTTACAAGCTTCATGATTAGACTTAGGTAGTTAAAGTGTCTTTATCATGCTATTAAATTTGAAACTAATCTATTTATAACCTTTTCGTATTTGTACGTTATTTATCTGAACTAATATTGTAATTTAAACAAATCTACGTAATTTAATTGATAAAACGTTTTTGTATTTAAAGTTTTTCAACCAAGAACACAGTTTTATTCATTGAAAGTCGATGAAAGCTTAGGTGTATATACGATCTGAAGAAAAATACGTGGAAATAATATAGATTTACCTAAAGTTTACGTTATGCTTATATTAAGCATGACTTTATTAAAATTATTATGTCGTTGCAAATAACATTACTTAACAAAATACATTGCTTAGTCGATAACAGAACCAATTCTAGATTTCTGTTTGGGTTATGGTTATTAAAAGATTTTACTTGTTCGTTTTTTATATTTATACCCTTGCGCCATTAGACAAGACGAGCTACTATGTTTTGTGACAATTTCGAATTTGGTTTGTGAAAAAACCGGGCCACTGTGTATTGCAGTAGCTTAAGGGACGATCGGAAAAGTAATACTTAAAAATAAAAAGGGTGTTACTAACATTGACTATTTCTTATAACTGCAAGGGTATATAAAGTTCGGCATGCCGAAATTAACTTCCTTTCTTCTTGTAATATGTCTTGTAACAATATGTTTACCATATTTTTCTAAAATATGGACACAGTGGAAACTTAAACAACCCAACTCAACCCAAATTAGAACAGTGTGGTTGAGGCGATATCATTCTATTTTAACTCAAATAATAAAACGAGTGTTAAACTTACCCGAGAAAGAAATTGCTTTAGCCAATCGTTTAAAAATTAATTGATTCAAAAAAAACGCCATAATACTCCTTTACTCAGTTCCAGCATAAAAACTACATTCTATTCTATAAATATTCTAGAGCCGTTTTTCATATTTCGAGCATAAGCATCTTTGTGCTTGCTGTTGCAATGGGTACGCAAGGTTGGCAGGTTCTCAATCATATGAATTTCATATCGATGTTTTTGCACCCAACTTAATTTGCATTCTACATAAGAACTTGTCATAAAATCTATATCATCTAATTCTATTAATTGCTTGCCGTTACTGTTGTCTTTTAATAAATTATATAATAGTGCTGAGTGCAGTCATTCGGCAAGACCGAACTCGTCTTGTTCAATGGGTTTCTTCAGCCAGCTTCCAAGGTCTTCTCGCTTGAATGCAGAAAACAACTCGAGCTTTGCCGTCTAAAACAAAAACATTGTAGATAATTTTTGGTGTACTACGAATGTACTAAGTAATAAATGACATACCTGATAGTCCTTTACGTTAGCTTTGGTTTGTCCATAGTCTGTAGTTACTTTGCGGACTAAAATACCTGGTAAGTTTGTCATTAAAAATCCATATTTAACAAAAAACGCTTGCTTCGTGATGCGCGACACTTGACCGCCAATGGTTCGACCAGTGAGCGAGTTCACCACTTCCAACTCGGTATCACCAATGGTCCAATTAATCCCAAAGTTTGGAGCCTTGGCCTGGTTTCGCGGTTCGGCCGAAGTGACCAAGGCAAGGCGCGGCTTATTCAAATGGTATGGCGGTGGCAGGCCTTGAATGGACTTCTCGATCCGGCCGCACACCGCACGGTACATGTGCTCTGGGTGCAGCAAGCTGCCCAGCACAATCGAATGCAGGTACACTGGTTCAATTATGGAAGACAATAGGGAGCCTTGTATACCCACGATGTTCCAACGTGCAATTTTGTCCGAGCACGACATTGTTAACAGGCGTTGGCCCTACAAAAAATTGTTATACAATAATAATATTAATAAATTAAATGTTTTAAAAAGGTTATCGGGGGAGTTCGGGTTACCTGCAATACGCCATCCCACGTTTGTATTCCATCACTGCTTTTCACTGGAATCGTCCCTTCACCGGACTCGATTTTGGTACGCAATTGGCCGCGAGCTTTTCTGTTGATTGATGATTATTTCATGTATGATTCGTTGTCGGCATTGTAAAAATGAATATGAAAAATATAATTATTAGCTTGCTTAAAAATTATTTTAAAACATGCCAAGTCATACTGGGGAACAAAACATAGTATGAATTACTTCAGTTTGGTGGCGCTGTCTGAATGGTAGAGTTTCACATTTCTAAAAATTCCTCATTAATTTTAAAATTCAAATTCTTAAAATAGTATTTAAGAATTTGGAATCAAATGGCCTGGCTATTACGTCCGATTGTAAGTGATTGAACAACGGGGAAGGAAGTTATCTTCGTCAAGCTGAAGTGATTGAAACGTCGATACAATTACTGCAAAAAAATTTATGAACCGAATCGTTCTTTCTTCTAAGTAACCATATTTCGGAAATATACAAACACGGTCAGTATGTCACATATTATATATGGCAGGGAGACAATATAGCACGATTTGTATAAAATCTTATAACTACATCGCTGTTTAATCCGATAATGCTGATCAAAAATATATTTTTAAGGGGCAATGTCTGCTTTCTGCGATACACAAAATCTAGAGTTATTAGACAGACAGACAGACAGACTACATGGGCAATGCCAAAGAAAACCTCTGAAGAAACAAAAAAAAAAAAAAAACAAAAAATTAAAAATACCTGAATTTGTTGTATACATTCATGCTTTTGTTCAGATTTATAATTCCACATATTCAATAAATACAGTTTCGTGCTTTATATTCCCACAAATTATTTTGAAAATGTGCGACAAATTTAATGTAACATGATTTTAAAAATAAGTAGAATTTTATTAATCTTATATTCTTATATTTTTACATTTCTTTTAGAAACAACAGTCGCATTTTTTCACAAACAAAAACTTGTGGCACTTGTATTTCCAGGCACGCATCTGTACATATATTCATGTGTGTTTTCATTAAGGCATATACATATTTTTCAGGGATCTTAATGCATTTTCCGCACAGAAAAGCAGATTTTTTTATTAGTAACGTACAAACATTAATAATTATGATTCTAATTGAATAATACAATTTTGAAGTGTTTATAAGTATAGGAAGTATTTATTTTTAATTTTAATAATATCAAATATTTATAGAATGTCTTTTGTACCAACCTATTTGGATGTTTATCAACACCAGTGTCGTTTTCGTGAGGACTAAATATCCGTGCATCCCCACAAGGTGCTGTATTTATATACAAATGGAAATGTACCCCGGATTTTAGTTTATAAGGGTATTGCCCATCAGTATTCCTCACGAAAATCGACTGATATGCTGTGGCTAAATTTAGGAGAGAATTGAATAAGAGTAATCAAATATAAATTAAAGTAAAACGAAGTAGATTTATGTTTAAATTTCTTTCTTTTCACCAATACGCACTGGTATGCATGAAAAGAAGTCCAATAAAACAATGCGGAACAGATTTTAGTATGCAATAAAAGTTGGGAAAGCATAAAGCCGATTTCAAAGTACTATGCAACTGATACCTATTGTATTGTATTTTGGAACAGAGTGTGTTTTATTTAAGAGCACTAAAATACACGTGACCCAGCAATACAAAACACGAAAGGCTTTACCTACTTATAATAGGGAACACCATGATTTCGCCGACATATTCACACGTTTAATATGAAAGTTGGGTCGTTGTTATTTCTAAACAACAAATAAATCCATTTGAAAATTCCGATTTTTTAAATTTTCATGTGAATGCGTCAGGGGAAGCAGGCTATTGACCCAAATCATACCACAGCCCCTGAACAATGGAGTGAACATAAACGGGGTAACTTTAAAAGCTACCTGTGATGCTAAACATTTTAATTTTAGTTGACTTAAAATAAGAATACTCAAATGTTAGTAAGTGAATTAGTAACAAGAAAATTACCATTAAAAATAAAGGAAATGACATTATTTCAATGTTCGTGCTTGAAATTGTAAAATAAAGTTTACAACTAGTTTATTTATAGATGGTCGCCCTTAAAATTTGCCTATAAACTTTTAAAACGATCTGACTAGAAAAATATAATTTGGCCTTTGAGGGCCATTTTAATATGTACCTAAGGGCTATATTTAGAAAAACAGAAAAATCTTGGTGTCCGTATATGTTCAATGAGCACAACGAGGAACTTTAGCCCGTACGTATAAGTAACTATTTTACCTTACAAAGCGTACAATTAAATATATAAACATTCCACAACTAAATTATGCATTATACTTAAGTTTAACTTCTATAATATTACTTGTGTACGTGAAAAAAAAACTTAGCATAGGCATAAATCAACTATACCCTGATTGCACTGCAGATCCAGCTGCGCATATAAGAACTTGAGAAGACAACGCCTAGAGACTATTTCAGCATGGGAATCGTTCAAGACAGCTCCATTAACGCTCATGTGCTCGCCGCTGACACACTTTGTACCCGTCGAAACTGAAATAACCTAATCAAGTGTGAGATAAGTATTAATACGATTCAAAAAATGCCATCTCGATTACCGACTTACTTTGGCTTCACAAAAATTCATGTTTTCAGTCATAACAATTCCCGCCAATACCTTTCGACGCGAATAAGCCTCTTGACCCTTGATTACTTCCATGAATTTTTCCAACACAAGTCGGCCAATTGTATCTGCATGTATCTGCGGCAACTCCATGGATGATGACTTGTCGTCGATTGGAAGGGGTACGTTCTTTTGTGGAACTACCATTGGACTGTAGGAAATGTTACACAACGAAGCAAGTGCAGCCTTGGCTGCCGCATTTTTTGCCAACTTTTTGGAAGGACCTTGAGAAAAAATTTGTGTACGCATTAGAAATCGAATGTTTACAATATAATTTCCACTACAAACCTGTTCCGTCAAACTTTTTCTCATTTATTGTAACCGTCATCTTGAAGCGACAATTATTCTGAGCGCCGTCAATATTAATGCATTCAAAATTAACGTCATTAAATAATTCGTAGAGCAGCATTACAGGACCCTTATCTGGAACCTTCTTTTGACCATCAACAGTAATAGCACTCTTGCTGACATCTAGCAATACAAGAAAAAGTTAGTAGAGATAGTTGATTGCTCGCTATTATGAAACTATCTCTTATGTATCTTAACTTATTTCACACGCAATAGTGTTCTCCAACCGTATTAGCAAAAAAAATGCAAGGAAAAACGTAAACAAGGAATACAAATGACTTATAAAAATAGTGTACAAGTACAAAATGTATAATTAAACGTACGGCATTGAAATGTCTTAGTTGGTTGCTGTATTATGTGCATAAACATATGTGATAAAACAATAGTAAGCGTTAGGACATTATTACTGAACGAAAATATTTGAATAAAAAGGCTTGTATAATAAAAGAAGATTAAATTAAACGAGCGAGTATAGACCATTTACACTGAGGCTTTTAGATATCTCTTTCTGTAGCGTTCACTGAATTATGAGTCAGTTAAAAAGCATTTGTATTAGTCAAAAAAAAAAAGCTTCAGTATAAATATGCTATTTTATACTTTTAAAAATTAACACAAACCCAATGAACATAGTAACATACATATTTTTATCCATTACTGATTGCAACTGATTCTTTGAGGACATCTTCAAATCTATAACTAATTATCGATTAACAGAATTCTTGTTCACGGTTTAGAATTAGAACCACAGTATGTGCTTCGATAGCAAATAATAGTAGCAAATAAGATTTATTGTCGTTTATATACGAAATGCACCGCATACTGAAATCAATTATGGGAACTTAAGGTATTCGACAATAATTTTTGATAGCTTTTCAATTTTTCAAAGAGGTCTCAGAATGAAGCATTGATATCTGATCCCATTACATACAAAAAAGGTACCCAAATCAATACAAAATACATACATATATACCTGACGTTAAAGTGCAAGGGTCCCAAACTCATAAAATTTCAGAATAAATTATATTAAATAATAAATTAAAATATTCAACAAAAAAGGAAAAAAAACACTAATACTTGCTCTGACTCATGCAAAACATTTGAAGACGCAACGTGGGTTGTTCAAGCGAGGTAAGGTTGGATTTCTTTTCAGTCAACATCAACGTCTCAATGATCTCGACCAATTGTTTGTTGGACAAATTTTCAATACCATTTTCTAGATGTTCATCGCTGGTAAAGTCCAAGTTGCCCGACGGCTTCAATGGCGACAAAACAGCTCCGTCCTTGAATTGGATAAAGCTTCGCAGAGCTGTGGCTGCTGCCTCGATCCGTGCCACTTTTTTACTGCGTCCCTGGCCCAAGTATTTTTGTCCATCGACCTGTGAATTAAATCCAGATATTATAGTCTTTTAACATCTTCTCAAAATGCCAAATTTTATATATGATATGTAATTATACATTTACGAGATTTAGGACAACAGACAATAGAATGCAAATGTCCAACAATATTAAAGGTTGTTTATTAAATGTACTAGGATCTGCAATTTAGTACAGCTTTTTACCCTTGCTTTCTAACACTAATTCTATTCATATTTATCTATTCATATATTCATAATATCTATTCATAATATTCAACTTATGACCTCACGTGGAATGCTAATTTTAGCTCGTTCGAACGACAATTGTGTGTTTTTCTGGAACATGACAGTAATTATATCATAAATAAAATCGAGTTCCTATTTGGTTACTATGCTCACAGTATTTTTAAGTGACTGATTTAAATATAAAGCATACGAGGGAGCTACAATCTACATATATGTATGTATTATCACAGTACATTTATTAATTTGCATCCCTCAAAACCAAAGATAAAGTAGACCCAAGTTAATGTACTATATATCAGAACATGGCGTGCCACACGCCACCTTTTTTAAGGGTATGTGTTCCTATGGCATTATTACAAGATTGATTAAGTCAAATATATCTTACCTCAACGGATATCGTAAATAAAGGTGCGTGCACCGGACCAGTCTGTGACTCCAATTTGTAAATCAGTCCATGTCTTAACTCATTCAGCATTGCCACCGTGTTTTTCGGCTGCGGAATGCGCTCCTTGCAGGTTTTCTTTTTTGGTGACACTGCAAAAAGTTCGGGTTTTGGATTAATGCTGCATTTTAATGATGTAAATAGGTATCCTAAACTTACCAGCATATTTTGGCATATCATAACGCCGCTTTTGTGGCGCTTTCCGGTTATATCCATTCATGTTGATATCAGATGGTGCACTCACCGGCTATGAATATTTTTATATTAATAGTAAATTTAATAGTGTTTAGGTATTTGTTTTTTTTTTAACACTGTACAAGTACAACGAAAAGCATTCAAACTTCCTTTCAAGGACCCGTTTTGTGTGTATGCATGTAGTAATTTGAGTTGTTAAGTGCTTTTACTTGTTTTTTGCGTTGTCTAATAGAAGTATCTTTTACAGGATTCTTTTTTTTTTTTTTTTGAATCCATTACCAAAATTCATCACTTGTAAGAAATCAACATTATGATTTTAATGACAAATCGTAGTAGTACATACATACACACAACTTTTGTTTATTTTAATATTACGCACAACAACATCGATACCATATAGACAGTTATAACAAGACGTTTGTAATACAATAGCACAACAATATGTTTAGTCAAAAAAAAAATTGCTCACAAATTCTTTGGTCGATTAATAAATTATTACATTGTAGGTTTATTTAGGCATATAAAATTATACAATAAATTGTATTTCGGGCTTAGGGTGCGAATTGACCTGTCCAATAAAAATCTACTTACATTGCAGGGCAATGATGGGAACATAATTCGACGTTTAACAAGAAATCTAGACCTTTTGCCAGCATAACTGGATGCGGCATAGAAGTGTTGACGTTGATAACAAATCGAGGATCTCGCTATACGCATTGCATGATGGCATGATCTATAGCTGCATGACTTATAGCCAGGTTTATAAGATACTGGATACATTATTATTGGTCCACTTCTTAACTATTCTGACTCAAATTTATAAAGTCAAGCAACGAAGAACAACGAACAACGATGTGACATTCAAGACCGTGTACAACCTAGCGACTGATAAATTTCGAGTTTCCCGGCTAAGCACTGACATTTATCTGACAACGACAAAAGCCAACTGCAGCTAATTTTATAGAAGGAACTGCAATTATGAAAAAAAAATTTTAAAAAATGTACATACATGTGTAAAAACACATGTTTGTACGTGTGTAGATAATTTGCGCGACTAGCTACGTATTTCGAGGAGCTCGATATTTATATACCCTTTTAAAGGGAAGACACTTGCGGCTGTCTGTTTCAATGCAAGGGATTCGTCGTCTAATTTATTTCACAGAGCACCATTGCTTGAAGTCTTTGAAAAAGAGTTAGGGTTAGACGAATCTTATACATTTGTGGGATTTGAAAATGCTCTGGAATCCATTTGGTTTTTCTTTTTAACATATATTGCTTAGCTCTAACCAACGTGTATGCTTAGAACATATATTTTAAAAACTGTAAATTATAAATAATTTTTGAAAAATATGTGAGGGTCTAGTTGCATCCGGAGGATAGGACAGCAACCTTGCTTTAATGACATTTATCACTTGTTTTGAAATGTAACAAAAAGCACGGTGCATGTCGAAAATTGAGATTCTTTTGTGCTGATAAAACAACTTTTGCAGACAGCCAGAAGGCAGATTTTGTAGAATTAATGAAGTCAAAATGTCAGAAAGGCATTACCAACCCAGCAGCATGAACGAAATTACATTAAAATTTGGATGCCGGTGGAGCGGTTATTGCTGCAGCAGCTGCAGCACAAACTCAGAGATGCATGAGCTGCATTGGCGTATCAAAATTTGCAGTAATCAACAGCAACATTTTTAAAATAAATATGTTGCAAAAATGTGTGCGTGTACAAATACTAATACTCCGGGATATACGATATACATTTACAGAATCCGTTCGAAGAAATTATATTTTTGGTCAAAGTTTGGAGGAATTGACGCCTACAGTCTTGTAGATTATTCATGTGCGCATAGGTGGAGAAAAGGACAGCTCATAAAATTTCAAATACGAAAAATATTTCAATCAGTTTCCAACAAAATGCTTACATGAAGGGATGATCTAAAACAACATTTTCTGTCTATAAGTTCCAAAAAAAGAGACTAGAATCGCATGCATCGAAAAAGGCATGTTATTTACACTAACGCTAAAAGTAAATTTGTGTAAAGCATCAGACTATATATCTCAATCGTGGGAAACAAGAAGTGTATGGTGAATAAGTCCGAAATTAAACAATTGAAACAATCAAAAACTTGTTAGGCTCGAGATATCCCTCTAATATTTTCGTTGTTTTGACCATTTCAAATTCATTGCAACATATTTATATAACACCGCACCTGTGTGTTGAGTGTCATTTCTCGGACAACTGATGGTGAAAATTGTAAATGTCTAATATATTAAGACCAGCTAGCTCTTAGTGCTTATAAATATAAATTTATGATAAGTGATTATCTCTATAAACAAAGAAGGAAATTACCTACAAAAAAAAATGCATAAAATAGTTGCTATTCATCATGTTTTAAATAAATAAAAACATACATATCCACTAAGAGTGAAATAACATAAATAAACCATGACATATATAGTGAATTTGTACATCCATACGCCTAATTGCATGCTATATGTAAGAAATACTGTAATGTCCCAGGAATCGGATGGGTAATAAAAACGTCAAAAAATATTCAAACTGATACTCATATTTTGAAAATCTAAATTATTTACGGCTCTGGCTTTTCCGATGTACATATAAACATTATAAAGAAAACATTTAGATATCAATGATTTCAAAGATTTTATTGTAGGTAAATTATTTTTTTTATTATTTGCTCCTTTATTGCTTTGCGAATTTAAAACTTATGTTTAGGGTTTAGAATTTCTCAAAGTATTTTTTAACACTTTAACTGAGGAGTTTCCGCCTTAAATCAACCGATCAAAATAATACAGAAGTAATGTTTACTAAACATAACATGCATGCAGTGCTCGAATATTCATACAAGTACCATATGTACATATAAATTTCACATAAACAAGACATAAAGAAATTTATGTTTTAATGACGATTTTCGTCTACTTACGTGCTGGGGAGAATTGTTATTTGCGCTGTTTAACATGACTCTGGAATCGAATTTCACGTACTTTATATCTTGGTGAAATCTGTTGTGCTATTGTTATGGTGATTTATATGATGATGATAATACCAATATATTCAGAAAAGTAACACCAAACCGATATTAAACTGAAGCGGAAGCTCTGTTTTAAATAACTTAAAAATCAATGCTAAAGGCTATTAATTATTAATCGAAATCAAAGCTACAAATCTAACTTTTATTTGAGCGTAAATTTAAATCGTATTTCTCATTCTAATGGAATAGCCGTTTTGTTTTTGTCAAATTGAATTTCGAATGGATCAAAAACGTACATACAAAGGTAAATATTTAAGAATTGCATTACGATAGGCAAAAATCAAATCATGTCTTCCAAAACTCAATGCAAATGGTTTTATCTTGTTTGGGACTGCAACAAATAAAGATATATAGAATCTCGACTTTTCAAATTAGAAAAAACTGTTTATATCCGCAGGCATTGGCATGCGTACATACATTCACATGCATGCAACATTAAACATACATACTTGTATGTTTTAGTTACACGATTCAATCGATTTTCGTACACTCACGCTCTCGTGAATTGGATCGGATTGGATTGGATTGGCGAATTGAGACTACAGCCATCGACTGGCTGGCCAAAAAGTGCATTATGTATATACTATACAACAAGTTCTATATAGTATGCACTATACACTATACACTATACTTTGTGGCACATTAGGTAATTAAACATATTTAGAAACACAAGTACGTATTTTCTCTCTGTTCTTGAAAAAGGCACGCGTGATGCAAAACGTCAGAAAACGTAAGATTCGCATTTCAATAAGCCACTTTTGCAATTCGATACATGAATGGACGGGAACTTATTGGCTTATAGAGCTTGTTATAGAGCCCCAGGCCTTAAGAAAGTGAAATGGGTAATGACAAGGGGGGTAGGGGGAGCGGGAAAATGAACGCAATTCACTGCAATGCAGCAGAGAAGAAGCCTTTCCTTTCCTTTCCCTTTCCTAACACCCCTTTCTTTTCCTTCCGCTTTGATGTTGGTCGGAATCGAAACGGAATGCCCCACTGGGTTAGTTACGTCGCATGTGCTTTTGCATGTGTGTTGCTTTTGTTGCTTTTGTTGTTCTTGCCATGCAGCTACGTAATACCCAGGAATTGTCCACTTTCCACTAACCACTAACCACTTTCTTCCATCACAATGGATGATGTAGTACCATCATATACATATTTGTTATAGTGCACACACTATAGTGAACGAAAGGAAACATCCAACATATTATCTGCACTCATTTCGCACATATACGATATACGATGCGAATACCCTATAACACCTATTGACTTTTTGTCTATTTTTTGCCTTATATTTGCATAAATGCCCGACATACATACATACACACGGCTGCACATGTACGTCGTATATGTATGTATTGTTTTTTGTTTTTTTTTTGTTCTTTTCTGTTTTCTGGCTACTGCATACCTTTTTGCTTGGGAACTTGGCTCTAATTATTGATTTTTACTTCGCTGTATCGGCAGAGTTTCATTTGTTTAACGATAGCTGCTCTTCTCTGTCTTCTGGCTGCGCTTCTTCCTGTTTATTTTTTGATAGCTTTTGTATTCTTTAGGGGGAATATATATATATATGTATATATCGGTGGCTCTTACTGCAATTATTTAATTTAGCGGCGAAAAAAAGAGAGCACACACACACAGACGCACACAGGCGAGCCCTTGCCTCACACACACACCGACATGGCCGGACAAACAAATCAATTCCTGATTGTTTTATCCTCGGTGGCGGTGCTGTGCGCCTCCTCTCCCTTGCCGCGTTTTTGATTTGTTAGCGTAGCGATGAAAATTGCAGTCGCGATTCACTGGTTTAAATGTCAGGATTTGATTTTAGTCCATTACATTACACTAGAAAAAATAACAATCTTCGTCGGTTAGAGTTCTGTTAGAGGTGGCGAAACTTCGATGGCACCATCGATGCATCGATGTTCTAAATTCATTTGTAAACATCGATGACGGCCACTGTCGGTGTTGCCCCATCACTAATGTAAAGTGCAGTGTTTTCTAACAGAAAGTTAGGATAAACCTTTTATCTAACATTTTTATCGTTTTATCTTAACATTTATGTTAAAGGCTGAAAAAAAGAAAGGGATACCCGGGTAACAGGGAGTTTAACCTAGGGATGTGAAGAATTTATCCAAATATCCACACATCGATATTTATCCAAATATTCAAACTCTGTGAATACCGAGAACCTAGCGAGTACATCATCCTAGCTTAACCTATGCACACACCAAAAGCTCGAGTTTGGTGCGGGACATGGCTTAACTTATTTTAAGCACCTTCCCTCGGCTTTTGGCGCACTTTTTTGAAATCGTACTTTAATCGTACTTGAACATTTAAAATTTATTCCGTTTCGGAATGGATACTTGTAAGTTTGCTAATCTCCCGCAAGTCCAAATTGCTATACAGTTTTACAAAATTCAATTAACAGTTTAAGTCTGGACTTTTGCCCAAGTGCATTTCATAATCTGGGAATGTTAAGATATCTATGAATACTATAAAATAAGGTTCTAAAAAACTGGAAGTAGCTCCATCAGCCAAACTGGCTTGAAATAAAAAAATAATCTAAAAAAAAAAATACGAAATTTGGAAGTAATTAGAAGTAGCATGCTTTCTAAAAGTTGGCTTCAAATCGACCAAAAGAACTTCAAAATACGACTTGTTTATGAATATACGCATTAGTTAATTTGATGCCATAGTTAGTCAGGAACGAGTTATTCCAACAAATGATGGAACTCTTTTAAATAACTATGATGTGCTTCCATTCGCATACCCAAATTGAAAACTTCCTCTTGAATGGAGCTCCTAAAATGAAAAAAGTCCTGAAACAGTCGAGTGTTGAGAGGGCCAAACTCGTGTGTCAATTTGCAGATAAAGGGCTATTTTGACCAAGACTACATGCTCAATACACAGCCATGTGAAGAAAATGTGCAAAGTAAATATGCAAAACAGAAACCAAAACAAAAAAAATTGCAAGCCCGAAGTGTCATCGCCTCAGAAAAGAAACTTGAGACTTCGGACGTTTCGAGGAGTTTTATTGAAGTTGGAAAGGTTTGCTTTGGTTTGGTTTAGTTTGCGTGTTTGTGGCTGTCGGAGTGTGTTGTATTTGTGGCAGAATAGTATGGCAAACATTGACAACATCGATAGCAATTGCATCCTGACACCGAGAATTATATTGCATAACAGTGGAGTGTTACACATCTTGCAGAAAGGTGAGCCCCCGAGAATATTGTCAGGTGGGCAATGAGTTAACTCTCCGTGTTTAAGAGGCTAGGAATTCCAAAATCGTTTTTTATTTAGCATTCTGCTCAGAATGTTGTCGTTGCATCGCATCTCGCAAGGATTCGATAAGTTTGAATATAAAGTGGAGGATGGAGGATGGGGAGCTCTGCTCCAAAAACGGCCCAACCAGGCACAAAGTAAGCGCGGTAGGGACAACTTTGCAAAAATTGTGCGCATATTAAAATTCTTGGTGAAAGCTTTTGACATAAATTAAAACTTTTTTCAATGTACGTACGGAGCAGCTCCCACCTCCGGTGTTATATCTGCTGTACTTTTATCAAAAGCCATCGAAAACTGCTCCGGAGGTGGGATGGCCCACCTAGGCTAGAATGTTAGGCCCCCCATACGCGGATTTCTTTGTTTTTTGGGAACTGTTTGTGCAAGCAGAGTGCCAGAAGTGCCTTCAGAAGGAGCAAAAGCAGCTCCTCCAAGGACAGGAACAGGAACATTCCGCACCTAGAGCCTCTGCCCCGTGCTTATTTGCCTGATATTGAGGCGTTACATGATGGCACTTTTCGACGCTTAGTCGTCATCGCATAAAACAAGAAGTGCTTACTTATTGCTCTCTTTTTGCCGCCCCCCTTTTTTCAGGACACTGACACATGGAAGGCTGATTGAAAACTTTTTTAATTAATTTCGATGCCAAAAAGTAGCAGCCAGCGTCCGGAGAGGGGACAGCCCAATATTCACGAGCCAAGACATCGATATAGAGGGCCATTGAGCAAAACTTCCGCGCCTTGCATACGCATACTATATAGTCTATAGATGGGCCGGGGGACTTATGAGAGGGATACTGATATTGATACCAGCCAGAGCGCATTAAAAATGAATTTCCCTTCATTGCCGGCTGGCGGGGGGCGGAGATGTGAGGGCGTGGCTGCTTCAATGTTGGCTCAAAGACAACATTTTTGGCGTCAAAATTATTTATGGGCTTACTGTGCGTAACGTGTCCTGGAGCAGAGTCTATGTTCAGGAAATATAGTTGTGCACCAAAAAAAAAAATCGATCGAATCCCTAAATTTTAATTAAACAATGCAAGCTAAACTCACAAATTGTAAGTCCATTGTAAAGGTATCTAAAAGTATGCAACAATTTTTAGCAGGCTAATGGGATGCAATTATTCCTATTATGTCACTGCATACTTTTCAACACCTAAGTGATTTCATTTTTCTTTTGTCAGTTTTAAAGTAGTATTCGGTTTTTTTTAATAACTAATAATCCCCTAATTAGAAACGATTTGACACTCAGTAGGAATTATATTGATGTCTAAAAAGTTGCATACTTAGGTCGATTTTCTTTCAGTGCCTGCGAACTGAGCTGAGGTGTCGCTGTCAGTGCTAATGTCGCATTGGCTACGTGATTGTCGGTGCTGGCGACTGATTTTTACGCCTGCGACAAAACTTTTTCAATAATGTATAAATCAAACTGTCATAAAGTCACAGTCGCAGATTGCGAAATCGCCGCGCTGCGAGTTGGTTCTTGGGTTTCTTGGTCGCCGCTTTCCCACGCTAAGTATTTTTATTTGCTCTTATTTTACGAGCAAACGTCAGAAGAAATCCCTTTTGGTGACATTTTCTTAGACAATTTAAGTTGCCATTGTGTTGCGCTGATGTGCATTTAATATGTGTCTGTATGTACGCCGATCCCAACCGAACTGAACCACCGACTACCCCCCAGATGTTACCTGTCTGCCGGCTCGCCTGCGAGTTTCCTTGCTCCTTTTCCTTTAAGCGTTTTTCACATTCATGGAAATATGTCACAAAATTTATTGCAAAATAATTTCGCCCTTGCTCTTGTGTGTGCCTTCCATACTGTGCTTCCTTTTTTTTTTTTTTACCAAGATCTACGGTGCTGCTAATGCTTAAGACCACGGCCCACGACTAGCCACTCATGACCTTCCTGACTCTTGTCTTACAATCTTTACCGGTCGGCATCCGTATCTCTATCCACCCAACCGCTTCTTGTTAAAATATTAAAAATTCCTTTGCATCCCCAACAAAATGTACCGCATCGTGTTTATACTTCCGACCTCTTAGGCGTTTGAATTGTAACTTTTTAAGCAGGAAAAATGCGCACTTGCGAAAGTAAGGCAAACATCGTTTAAGGCTGTTTGGGTATTGTCGAGAACAACGATAAAGTTTACTTTGATTCCGGCGAAAAGCATGTCATTTAATTATTTTACCGCATTTCCTTTTATAAACCGCGCGTCTTTAAGAAATGCACAATATTTTGTGCTCAACAATTATATTTTAGTTTGTGCTTAAAAAGTACACTTTTTAATAATAAAAAATCATAATGAAATTATTAAAGAAATATTATGTTATTATAGAACGCAATGTCATCTGGAAGTACAGGTTTGGTGTCCCATTCTGAAAGCCAAGGGAAATACGGAAAAATGTAACATGAAAACAAGCTAAAATTTTGAAACTTCTTTAAGAGGTATGTTTTAATGTAGATTATTAGAGAATTCAACCACCAATCCATAAAGGCATCCCACTTCCAAATCGGGATTAAATTACCCAAGTTATGGAATCTGGAAGTGCAGTTTTGGGGTCCCATACTAAAACCCATTGGAAATACAGAAAAAAGTAACATGAAAACAGGGTAAAATTTGGACCCTCTCTTAAAAGGAATATTTTAATGTAGATCGTTTGAGAATTCAACCACTAATCCATAGAGGCATCCCACTTCAAAATCGGGATCCAATAACTCAAGTTATTGAATCTGGAAGTGCAGTTTTGGGGTCCCATACTGAAACCCATTGGAAATACGGAAAAAAGTTACATGAAATCAGGGTAAAATTTGGACCCTCTCTTAAAAGGAATATTTTAATGTAGATCGTTAGGGAATTTAACCACCAATCCATAAAAGCATCCCACTTCAAAATCGGGATCCAAAAACTAAAGTTATGGAATCTGGAAGTGCAGCTTTGGGGTCCCATACTGAAACCCATTGGAAATACGGAAAAAGTAACATGAAAACAGGGTAAAATTTGGACCCTCTCTTAAAGGGAATATTTTAATGTAGATCGTTAGGGAATTCAACCACCAATCCATAAAGGCATCCCACTTCAAAATCGGGATCCAATATCTCAAGTTATGGAATCTAGAAGTGAAGTTTTGGGTTCCCATACTGAAACCCATTGGAAATACGGAAAAAAGTAACATGAAAACAGGCTAAAATTTTGACCCTCTCTTAAACGGAGTATTTTAATGTAGATATTTAGAGAATTCAACCAGCAATCTATAAAGGCATCCCACTTCAAAGTCGGCATCCAATAACTCAAGTTATGGAATTTAGAAGTGCAGTTTTGGGGTCCCATACTGAAACCCATTGGAAATACGGAAAAAGTAACATGAAAACAGGCTAAAATTTGGACCCTCTCTTAAAGGGAATATTTTAATGTAGATCGTTAGGGAATTCAACCACCAATCCATAAAGGCATCCCACTTTGAAATCGGGATCCAATAACTCAAGTTATGGAATTTAGAAGTGCAGTTTTGGGGTCCCATACTGAAACCCATTGGAAATACGGAAAAAGTAACATGAAAACAGGCTAAAATTTAGAACCTCTCTTAAAAGGAATATTTTAATGTAGATCGTTAAAAAATTCAACCACTAATC